ATTATATAAATTCATATTTATATTTATATACAAAAAAATTATAGGTACCAGTTATATATTTAATATTTAGATGAACTAAAAAACAACTCATCAAAAATGTATTTAAATATATTTTATTTATTTATATATTTAACAATACAACTCCAACATACACGAAGTCCATTTATTGGAAAGGGCACACATTAACAATATAATAAAGTGAAATATCTCATTATAATTACAAGCTTAAAGGAGATGGAGATGTAGAAAAGATATTGGTCCTAAAATAAACCCCGGGGCAAATTGTGTATTAAATGATTACATTTTACAACTGCCTAATACGGCATAAAACTATTCAAAAATGACATAACACTTATTTAATTCTAAAATATTACAATAGTACCAACGTTAAACTAGGGTTGTCATTTGTTTTTACTTAAACAAATAATCAAAAATACGGGATTTTATTGATTTACCCGGGAAAATGAAACAAGGCAAATTTAATACGGTTTTATTTGAACTCAAAGTATATTTTACATATAGCAAAAACCATTTAAGTTAATATTTTGTTGACGATTGAGAAAGCTTTAGGATTTCGTTGTTTATAAAACTGTTTACAATTCAAGTCGTAGTTGAACATTGTAAGCAGTTCAGCGTTGATTAATACTGGTGTGCATCTAAAGATGCACACCAGATTTAATTAAATCATATCGGTGGAGCGATAACTTTAAACAGTTACTGTCTTCAATGATACCTTTTGTTTGAAAAATTTATTTATGTTCCTAAAATTGTATTTATAAAAATATTTATTAATATACGAAAACTGTTTTATAAAAATTTCCTTCAACGGTTTAGAATGTTATAAAAATGTTAAGAGACCTTTCTAAAAGTGCTTTGGAATTATCAAAAATGTCCTAAATGTCCTAAAAATTTGGAGGAACCCATTTTAATATTAGAATTAGAATTAGAATATTTAGAACTGTCAAAAATGTATTATAACTGTCTAAAGTTTCTGCATTAAGACCTCTAATAGTTGTTTACGTGTCAAGCTTTGTAAATGAATCTTTACGGGCGAGCTGGGAGTAAAGATTAATTGCAAAGCGTGACACGTACAAACTTTTATTTTCACCTTAAGACAACGATTTTCAAATTTAAAATTTCAATTAATGTGTCAAATGTGTCATTTCATTTCATAAATTGCTTTTCTACAGGCCTGTAAAACTTTACAGGTCTTTTATACAAGCCCGTAAAATATTACAGGTCTGTTCCCATAATGTATCGTTTACTTGGATACAAAAACAACAAAATTAACCTTTAAAATGTCATTTACTAAGAAGGTGGAAATAAAATAGTTTTATAATGTCTTGACACTTTTAAAAATAGGTGAAAATGTTTTAAAATTTCATAGTTTGCTCTATGTTTTGCCAGTCTAGTCCAGATTTTCTCTCTTCATCTGCTTATTTTCAATATTTTTAGATTATTGTGTATTTGATCTTACCATTTAATTTTTGCCCTCCCTCTATATCTATTCTTTACTTCATTTTTAGCTTTTCTGAACTCATGTCCAAACCATCTGTGTTCATGTGCTTTGATACGTTTTTGTTGCTAATTTTCTTTATTTATATTACCTATTCTGCCGTGTTTAATGAAAACGCCGTAACCAACAATTGTGCGATTTTTGTTTTACGGCATTTTCTACTAGAACAATTCATCCTGCGTCTATCCCCGGTACTCAAATAACCGTATATATATAGATACGGTTTTTTGAGTACCGGGGATAGACGCAGGATGAATTTTTCTAGTAGAAAATGCCGTAAAACAAAAATCGCACAATTGTTGGTTACGGCGTTTTCATTAAGCACGGCAGAATAGGTAATATAAATAAAGAAAATTAGCAACAAAAACGTATCAAAGCACATGAACACAGATGGTTTGGACATGAGTTCAGAAAAGCTAAAAATGAAGTAAAGAATAGATATAGAGGGAGGGCAAAAATTAAATGGTAAGATCAAATACACAATAATCTAAAAATATTGAAAATAAGCAGATGAAGAGAGAAAATCTGGACTAGACTGGCAAAACATAGAGCAAACTATGAAATTTTAAAACATTTTCACCTATTTTTAAAAGTGTCAAGACATTATAAAACTATTTTATTTCCACCTTCTTAGTAAATGACATTTTAAAGGTTAATTTTGTTGTTTTTGTATCCAAGTAAACGATACATTATGGGAACAGACCTGTAATATTTTACGGGTTATGGTTATCATCTTGCCTTTCCATAAGTAAGTTTTTAAAATGATTCTCCCACTATTTTTTTTTGTTAAAGCGGTTTTACCTTAGTCTTTTTTTATTTTTTTAATATTTGTAATTCCTTTTTTAATATTTTTTTATTTTATTCTTCTCCTGCCCTTAACACATTGCGTGCCACGTCTGACATATGTGACAGACAGTGCTACTTCCTGAGGGGCCACGTCTGTCATATATGCAAGACACAATATTCACTACCAGGCCGCGTCTTGCAGATATGCTAGACGCTACACGCTTTATTCGGAAAATTACTATTTTTCATGGTTTTAGGTTTATTATTCATGGCCCCCTAGGATACTTTCCAAATATATACGTGTTAACCATTCCAGTCTTGTTTCTCTTTTTTTGTGTGTATTTATCAAACCATCTATAACGTTTTGCTGTTTGTTTTCTAGGTTCCACTTCTTTTTGCGGCACACGCATTTGCTTTTTTTTACTATTTTTATTCTCTATTTTGAAATCAGTATGGTTTTCGGTATTTATTTCTGTTCGTAGCCATCTTACTTTATGCTCTTTTTCATACCTGAATTTTGCATTTTGCACTTGAGATTAACATATTTCTTCCTGTAGCAATTTTAGATAACCTTGTTCCAGTATCATTTAATTTTTTGTGTATCACATTTTTACATGCTTCATCCGTTATAAATTTTCCGTTTCTTATTTTAACATTAAAATGTCCCAATATAATAAAAGCGTCATGGGTATTCTTGAATAAGCTTTTTATATTGTCATAAAATATTTGTTTTTCTCAATTTTTTTTATAAAACCTTCTTAAAATTGTTTTGGTAGGTACTTTATAAAAATATTTATTTAGTCATATCTTACTTTTATTTGTACTAAATAAATTAAAAATAGGTTTTAGGCTGGTAGATATCCCTAAGGAGATCGTGGATAATGTCGATGGTTAAGGACATTCCCAAAATTTTGTCGCCGGGTCGGGCCATACGCCCAATTTAGGCTAGTGGATTGCGGGACAAGGAGGGAAAACATGTTGGTTTTTGGAGGACATTGAACTGACCCCAAACTAGGTACAATCCGGAATCCTCCTCAACCAGGGATTTATTAATAGACCCATTCAATTGGGATTCATGAATGAGGCTTGGTAGTTAGTATGTTGCTAGGACCTATCCTTGCTGGTCTTGTAGTACTTTCCGTTCGTGTGCGTCCGTATCTACTAAAAATTACCATGCTAAAGGGGAACCGTTGTACGCCAATTTTCCGCCTCACTGTTCGAAACCATTTCTTCAGTCTAGAGGTGGAAAACTATCGACATATAGTTTTCATTATTTGGCCATATAACTACCGATAGTTATCGATAGTTTTTGTTGTTGTTTTTTGTTTATTACAGCAGTAATGCAAAATTTTCTAATAATTTTTAGTTATTGTGTTGCCCAAGCACGTTTTTTGATAGAAATTGTATTTTTGTTTTTTTTTTAATTTTTTTCCAACAATAAGTTATTGCATTTATTTATTAAGTATAGTAAGGATATTCTTGATTTTATTTTTTTTATTTATTATTCCCTGTTCACCTATTTTGATGTAGTTTTTTTATGTATTTTTGTTGTTCCTACGGACGTTTCTACTTGAGAAGGTAGAAACCCGGAGGCTTTGTAGGCTTGGTGAATTACGGAATTACAAGTTTTTAGTATTACGAATAGCGTCGTGCAAATGTTAATAAAAAAATTATCTGAATTTTGCGGATGCCCCCTGTTTCCTTATGATTGATATCAGTTTCCCGCCACAATAAACCACCTGCGGCTGGCAGGGGTGACACTGTACAGTCCTGGTCGGTGAGGTGATTATGCACCTTGGGATTCGCGGAACTATACACTGTTGAACGAAACCTTAAAGAATAATTACCTTTTAAGTATTCTGGATTTAAAATGCACTGGTTATTTTTGTATCGTTTGTGGAGCGATAGAAATATACGTCTTACTGGTACAAGCGGTACTGCCGTACTGTAGTTTTAAAAGTTTACATATATTTTATAATATTTTATGTATAATAATTAGGGATGGGATTTTAGTTATTTTACCTTTTTTTAACCGATGCATCGCGATGTAACTATTTGAAAACCAATAATGCCAAAATGTGTTTTAAAAGATTTTCTTTTATTTGAACCTAACTTATTTTCACCTTTTTTACCTTTTTTGGAGGTTTTTGCTTTTAACTACCTTTTTTATATTTTTGTTACCTATTTTTTTAACTTTTTTCACCTTTTTTGCCTTTTTTGGAGGTTTTTGCTTTAAACTGCCTTTTTATACTTTTGTTACATATTTTTTAATTTGTCCGTTTATTTTCACATATTTGTTAGGTATTTTTACTTATTTTATTTTTTTTTTGTTCTTTTTAAAATTTGCGCCAATATTTTATCCAGGGCATGCAACTCAACGGTATAGAATTTTTTCTTATGGTTACTCACTACTAGTGAGCTTATGTTCTGTCATATAACTTCTGTATAGTGAGTGTCACTCAGTAAAACACAGTTTATTGCATAGAAATAGTTTATTGTGGGTATGTTCTGTGTTTGGGTATTCGGCTAAACAAAATTATAAACGAAACTTAAACTTTTAATGATTTTTTTTACCTAAAATGCTGTTTTTTTTACCCTAAAATGCTTTTTTTAGTACCTTTTTAGTTACCTATTTTTCAGTTTTTAGTATCTAAATATCCCATCCCTAATAATAATATATTAATAATTTATATTTCAGATACTGGGCAGTTACTAACATAGACTACATCCACCAGCGAACCTCCAAACGCATTGGCCTCATGATCTTCATCATCTGGTTCGTATCATTCCTTGTCTGCATAGCGCCGCTTCTGGGCTGGAAGGACCCGCAGTGGGACCAACGCATACGCGAGAAAAAGTGCATCGTGTCTCAGGACCTCTACTACCAGATATTTGCCACCGCGTCCTCCTTCTATTTACCCCTGCTGGTGATTTTGATCCTGTACTGGAGGATCTTCCAGACGGCGAGAAAGCGCATTAGGCGAAGGCAGGCCATGAACGCGGTCAAGCAGCTGCCGAATCAGAATCCGGCTGCCGGCGGTATTGCAGGTGGGCTAGCGGCTGCTAGTGGCACAGGTAGTTAGTATCAATAGCTTTCACTTCCCTTTTAGTATATAACATTGCTAGTGGTGCTAGACCCAAAAAATATCTACTCCAAATATTAGGAGAATCATCACTTTGTATATATTATTTTCTTTAAGTGCTCTACTTTATGTTTTCAGAAGTACAAACTACAATCATATGGCGAACTTTTTTTCATAACTATATAAAAAATTTATTTTTATTTTTTTGGGCATAATTTGGAATTTTTAATAATTAAAAATTTTAAAAAGAACACAAAGTAGGTATAGAGGATTTAATAAATTGTGCATATTTTATTTATTTATTATAAATAGTTTGCCCAATATTTTTTTATATTTTTCATATTTATTAATTTAGGAAACAATTGAATCCGAAAAAAAATATTTTTTTAAGACGTAAAAACCAGAATAAACAAATAAAAATAAACATAGAAAGTTTAAAATAAATAATTAAATTGGGTATTAGAAAAATTTATATAAATACAAAAAAATATTTTGTTTTAATATTTAATTATCCTCGTTTTTGTTTATATCGATTGCCAATTACTTATAAAACGTATCTGCAAAATTTGGCATTTTGAGGTTTTGCTTTAAATAAATAGAACTTTATACGTCATATTATACTTTTGACCAATAAGATTCGTTGTACTTCATTTGAAACAATATCAATTTAATGATATGATTTTTGCTCCTAAGACGTTCTATTAGCAATGTTTTAAGAAAAACTACAATCATATGGGGACCTTTTTTTCATAACTATATAAAAAATGGATTTTTATGTTTTGGGGCAATTCAAAATTTTAAGAACCCAAACAAAACACAAAGTATAGAAGATTTAATAAATTATTCATATTTTATTTATTTATTATAAATAGTTTACCCAATATTTTTCATTTATATAAATTTAGGAAACAATTGAATCCGTAGACGTAAAAACTAGAAAACAAATAAAATAAATATAAAAAGTTTAAAAGAAATAATAAACTTGGATATTAGAAAAATTTATATAAATATAAAAAAATATTTTGTTTTATTATTTAATTATCCTAGTTTTTGTTATTATCGATTGGAAATTACTTATAAAACGTATCTGCAAAATTTGGCATTTCGAGGTTTTACTTTAAATAAATAGATTTTTATACGTCATATTATACTTTTGACCAATAAGATTCGTTGTACTTCATTTGAAACAATATCATTCTATTAGCAGTAGACCACTGATATGCTAAATTTTTTTTATCTACATTAGATTTCAATGATTAGAGTGACCTTATTTTGGGTATTTTCAAATTATTTTGCCTTCAGGTGCTTTTAGTCGCTTTTTAATCGATAAAAGAAATTCCCAGAAAATTAAGTGTTTTTAATTTTATAAGTCATTGACCAATACCGACAATAATGGAAAATATATATTTTTGTAGAGAATTGAACGCTCTATAAAAAAGCTCGGATGCATACATTTTGTTAATAAAATTGTTTAGGTATATGTTATTATGTTAAATGGAAATATCATAATTTTTTACTTTGGCATTTTGTTTGTTATGAGGTAAAAATACTAAAAGTCCTCACTCCTGGTAAGTGAGCGGGGTGTAAGTATACCTATAGGCACGTATAAGGTCCCTTTTTAGTTTTTTCGGAAACTATGGGTCATGGCTATAAAAGCATTTGCTATAGGATTAGTTTTAATTTTGTTTTTGCCTATCTTATGGCAAGCTATGGCAATTTGTTTTACCATTTAACAACACAATTTTTATCTAACATCATGGAGAATAATAACAAAATATTGTAAAGGTGTTATTGTTGAATTATAATTCAATGAATTATTTTTAAAAGGTGTACAAATATTATAATTTTTATTTGAATCTTATTTTAACTTGCAATGTTTTTCCTATGGTAATATTAATTCAAAAATATAACTTTTATTGCTATAATTAAAATGGTGTTTAATATAAATTTAATTTTTAGAATTAAAATTATATTGTAGTATAATTTAAAATGGAAGTACTAAAATTATGTGTACATAATTTTAATTTAATTAAAATTATGTATAGTAGAATTTCAATTATGTGAATTAAAGTTATGAATACATAATTTTAATTCCAGAATAAAAATTATGCACACATAGTTTTAATTCACACAATTAAAATTATCCGTTACATAATTTAAATTCTATATAGATAATTTTAATTGAATTAAAATTAAAACTATACATAATTTTAGTACGCACATTTAAAATTATACTCTACTGTAGAGAGTCTCTACATTATTTTAAATCACGAATTAAAATTAAATGATGTTATAAAACATTTTAATTCAAGCAATACAAATTGTATTCTACATCGTTTTAAATAGTTTAATTAACATTACTATATAAAAAACATTGCCAATTTAAATAAGATTAAAATAAAAATTAAAATACTTGTGCATCTATTAAAAAGTAATTTATTGAATTAAAATTCAAAATCAACTCCTTTGCAATATGTACTTATTACTTGTAACATTTTATTTTCATACAGTTCTATTAATTTTTGGTGATGAATTCAACATGTAATTGATGTAATTGTAATGGGAAATCATAAAAATTGAACATAATTTTTTAAAGATAAAACAATATGTAGTCTATTCTTAAATACAGAATGACAAGTTGTGTCTTTATGGCGTTTTAGTCATGGGCTGAAGTTAGCAACAGATTTTTAGTCACGGGCTAAAGTTAGTTTTAAGTTCGTTGACAGTTATCAAATCTTATACAATCGTTAAAATAAAGAACTCTTCTTGTAAAATAATACTAAATGTAAAAATGATTTTATTATCTCGATACAAAAATAACGCCAATATTTAAAAAGTTTATATATACATTGTACTGACCTTTTAATTTCGCCGGCAGTAAACTAGATTTAATTTAATTTCGGGTGGAGACTCCATCGTGTGTGCCCATAAAACATGAGTGTATAGAAAAGTTTATAAACAAGGTGCATACTATACTTTTTCTACAACAAATATTATCTTAAAATGATTTAAATCAAAAATTTGTATAGAGCGCCATCTATGGAACAATAGGGGAATCTGTGTGTCACCGTCAAATGTCAAATTTTTATATTTTATAACCACAGATTATAAAGGATATAAATCGAAATGTGTTTCTTGAAAATTGACAGTTTTTTACAGTGAAAGTAAAGAAAATGTTTTATGAGCACTTTACAGTGGAGTCCGTGTATAATTTAAGTTATAGTTTACTGCCGGCGAAATTAAAAGGTCAGTACAATGTTCATATAAACTTTTCAAATATTGGCGTTAAAAAACTATTTAATACTTTTGTATTTTTGTATTGAGATAATAAAATAATTTTCACATTTAGTATTATTTTACAAGAAAGGCACTTTATTTTAACGATTGTATGACATTTAAACTGTCAACTAAAAACTAACGTGACCCGTGACTAAAAACCTGTTGCTAACTTTAACCCGTGACTAAAGGGCCATAAAGCCACAACTTGTCAATGTGTATTTAAAAGGTCACTTAGTTTCATGGAAACATGTACGATAAAGGGCGTTTTAAAGGTGGGAGTAGAAAAAATAATTTATATCTTCTCACAAAAATGTATTTTAAACTTTAAAATTGATTTTAAAAAATGACTTGTCAAAATTAAATTTTTGGACTTGTACTGTTCTTATTCTCACCGATTCAAATATAGAAAAGATTTCATCAGATCAAAATATTATTTTGAAGCATGTTAATACATAAAATAAACACAAAAAAAACTTTCTATATTTGTATTAAAATTTAAATTATCCATATGTATGCATAAGTCCCGTTTCACATGGAGTGTGATCGTCAGGATTTAGCACTTGCTAATCATAAACGATGAAACGATACTAAATATTGTAAATATGTACATAACAACAATCAAGCAACTTAGAAAAATAGATTTTTAAACAAACTTTAGTTTAGATTTTAACACTACGTCCTACAAATTTAAGAAGTTTTGTTATATTTCATATAAACATGTTTTTCTTTACAAATATTAGAATGCACAAATAAATTTTACATTTTAGATTCATGCTCCAATAAACTTAATGTTTGATTGAGTTTGTAATGTATTGTTTATTCAATAACCATATATTGTATAGTTTACAAATGAGCATTACTGTGATATATTCGGCTAATTTTACCAATTACTTAACAAACCTATTGTTCAGCAAATTAATTCAGGATTTAGTAGTTATAGTTATGAAATGCAAATAATTTAAATAATGTTATAATGATGGTTTCGATGAAATACAAATTTAGGATTATTCATGTATTCTAAAGCTCAATTCTTTACAAAACAATTTGTTTTGGTTATAAGAAAGGCATAAAAACAGACACTTTAATTTATTTTATTTCACAACTATTCCAAACCATTTTAACGCCTTCCGAAGCTGGAGGGTTACTGAAATCACCCTGCAAAAGTAATTAATTATAATTAATTAATTTTATGTTGTATTTCGCGCCAATCTTAATTTCCCTTTATATGGGTAACAAAAGATTTCAGTGTGTAAGTCATTAAAACAAAATGCTTTTAACCAAAAACTCGAAAACAATAGAAGCACGAATCTGTTCTCGATTGAAAATCATACTATACTGTCCCTTTACATTGTTCTTGTGGAAAGTTATTATTTTTAATTATTTTGAAACAGTTAAAATAAAAAAATAACTTTTTTAATATAAGTACATACTAAGGTGTGCTGAAATAAAAATGAGTATGAGTATGGGGACGTATGGCAGGCCCCATCGATATCACCTTACACTAATCTCCCTGGGTTATTTTACTTCCTTTCCGTTCTCCTACGTATCCCACACTGCACAGCATTACCTGTGTTTGTTGGATCCGCATTTTTACGCCGGCTGGTAGATCTACCCTAGTAGATCGTGGATGACAATGCCTTAAGGAAGGTTAAGGCCACTCCCGGATTTTTGTCGCCGGGTCGGGCCATACGCCCAGTTTAGGCTAGTGGAGAGCGG